ATAGAAAAATTTAATCAGTAGAGACAGAAACCTATCAGTGGTTGCCTGGAGACAGTGGTAGAGGAAGTGAGATTATAAAAAGGCTTAAAGAACCTAGTGGGGTGATGGAACTGTTCATTATCTGGACTGTAATGATGGGTTCATGGATGTGTACTTAAGTCAAAAACTGATTTTAAAATGTGTACACTTTAAATGTGCAGCATTTATCATACCTCAATAAAACTGGTAGAATAAACCTTATTATCCAGCTTGTTTCATAGCTACTTTTACACAAGTCATGAAAAAATAGTGCTTCCTCAGTGCTTAAGGAAAAGAATATCAGAAGTTAGAAGAATAGGTCCATCTACAAGTTATAAGCAGTTCAGTGCTCTTCAGTGATTTTAATTTTCTCTTCTTAAATGTCGCAAAATGGATGCTGTCACTAACTATGATTTAAATGGGTATGTAGGAAACAGCTTCTCATTTCATCTGGAACTTCCAGGCATTTTAACAGTCTGCGAACACCTAGCATGTGAATTCACTCAGAAGAAGTTGTTCTAAAAGTGTCCAGAGGCACTGCAGGGTATTCTCTGCCTCTGTCCCACTTACAGTCTGCTTAACTTCTAGAGGCAGTGACTGACAGAAGGAAGACATCAAAACTATGCGGAGTTTATTTCACAATGACCAAGATGACAGGTCACACTTGGCTAAAAATGTACTGTGAGTTCCAAGTGCTAGTACTGACTAATCTAGTGCTTCTCAAAGTTGAGAAACGTAGTGAAGGGGAAAAAATTAAAAACACCTATCTCCTTTAAAAATGCTTTTAATGAGTACAAATAAAAATTTTACTTATGATCTTTATTCAACTGTGAACCAAAAAATTATTTTGTAAATTAAATGCATTTAAAACTATAAAATCAGTAACATTTAAAATTAACTTGACAGATTATAGTATTTTGCTTAAATTAAATTATCTCTCAAAGTGAATGTGGTATGGTCTGTTATGGTGCTGGTTTCATTTTCTATTTAGTTTGTTTTCAAGTCCAACATATTTCTAGGACTACGGGCCACATGATATTTCTGTTTGGGTACTTATTACCTATGTGACATGGGGCAAGTTATCTAAATTTCTCAGTTCCTGGTTTTCTTGTCTAGAAAGTGCAGATTACCATATTACCATAATAACTCCCAATACAAATAGTATTTTAAATCCTTTACACATACTAACTCATTTCATCCTCACAATAATGTTGTGCGGTGAGTACCATTTTTCACAGGTTGGAGAACCTGAAGCTCAAAATCAGTACCTTGCCCGAGGCCACATGACCAGCCAATGACTGAGATAAGATTCATAGTTAACCTCCTTCCCATGCTGCCTCTTACAATTTTGTAGTTTTGAAATAATTCCTAGCTCATGATGATTACATGCATTAATACATGTAAAGTGTTAATAATTATGCCTGACTCATGTTAACATTCAATCGTTGTTATTCCATCTCCGTTCTTTTCTCAGCCGCTTGGGCCAACAATCAGGGAAACGGCGTCTGCGCACTGGAGGTGCAACTGGAGGCACAGGCGCCAATAGCACAGTACTCGCCAAATCACAGTCACATTTATTCTCTTGTATTTAATCTTTAAAATAAAAACTGGTGGACGCCTAAGAAGATATCCAAGGATCCCCACCACCACCACCTGCCCCTTTCGGAGACCCACTTTATAAAACTGCTCAGTTGATTAGACTTCTAAAAGAAGTGATCGCTCTGGGTCGCTTAAAAACAAAATTTCCATCCCTGGTGGATCGTGAGTTGCTCCTTTACCTCCGTCATGCCCAGCACTGTACCTGGCACGTAGCTGGAACTCACATGTTTGCTGAACTGAGTCCCGCGGGGAGAAAGCACCCAGAGACAGGCGAACAGAAAGGCTGCAGTGCCAAATAGGCCAGTGAGAGCCAAAACCAAAAACACCAACTCCACGTCCCACAATCCCAGGCAAAGAACCCTTACTATCAACATAGCTGTGGCTGGCTTAACATTGGGATGGAATGGGGTGGGCTCATCCCATCAGCACCTGTTAAGATCAAATCCCATTTATTTTTTCCTCTCTCTCTTTTACGTTCAGACTGTCCTTGTCAGTAGGAAGAATAATTTGCCATACTCTCTGGGGAACCAGATTTGGACCTGGCTATTAGAAAGACAGAAGGATGGAAACTGGGAAGCTCCAATGATCGGTCTCTGCAGGGGACAGGCTTGCTCATTCTTTTTTTTTTTTTAATTAAATCTTTATTGTTCAGATTATTACATTTGTTCCTCTTTTTTCCCCCCATAACTCCCCTCCTCCCAGTTCCCGCCCCACCCTCCGCCCTCACTCCCCACCCACTGCCCTCATCCATAGGTGCACGATTTTTGTCCAGTCTCTTCCCGCATCTCCCACACCCCTTTCCCCCCCAAGAATAGTCAGTCCATTACCTTTCTATCTCCCTGATTCTATTATGATCACCAGATTATTTATTCACTTGATTCTTAGATTCACTTGTTGATAGATGCATGTTTGTTGTTCATAATTTGTATCTTTACCTTTTTCTTCCTCTTCCTCTTCTTAAAGGATACCTTTCAGCATTTCATATAATCCTGGTTTGGTGGTGATGAACTCCTTTAGCTTTTCCTTATCTGTGAAGCTCTTTATCTGACCTTCAGTTCTGAATGATAGCTTTGCTGGATAAAGTAATCTTGGTTGTAGGTTCTTGGCATTCATCACTTTGAATATTTCTTGCCACTCCCTTCTGGCCTGCAACGTTTCTGTTGAGAAATCAGCTGACAGTCATATGGGTATTCCCTTGTAGGTAACTGGGTTTCTTTCTCTTGCTGCTTTTAAGATTCTTTCTTTGTTTTTTGCTCTTGGCATTTTAATTATGATGTGTCTTGGTGTGGTCCTCTTTGGATTCCTTTTGTTTAGGGTTCTCTGCGCTTCCTGGACCTGGAAGTCTATTTCTTTCACCAGGTGGGGGAAGTTTTCTGTCATTATTTCTTCAAATAGGTTTTCAATATCTTGCTCTCTCTCATCTTCTGGCACCCCTATAATTCTGATGTTGGTAGGCTTGAAGCTGTCCCAGAGGCTCCTTACACTATCTTCGTATTTTCGGGTTCTTTTTTCGTTTTGCTTTTCCAGTTGGGTGTTTTTTGCGTCTTCATGTTTCGAATCTTTGACTTGATTCTTGCGCTCCTCTGGTCTGCTGTTGGGTGTTCTTTTTTTTTTTTTTAATATATTTTATTGATTTTGTACAGAGAGGAAGGGAGAGGGATAGAGTTAGAAACACTGATGAGAGAGAAACATCGATCAGCCGCCTCCTGCACACTCCCCACTAGGGATGTGCCCGCAACCACGGTCCATGCCCTTGACTGGGATCGAACCCGGGACCCTTGAGTCCACAGGCCGATGCTCTATCCACTGAGCCAAACCGGTCAGGGCTGGCTTGCTCCTTCTTGAGCTGAAAACCCCACAAACTAAGCCCGCGGCCTCCCGCACCCCCATCCCTGCGCCATGAGCGTGCAAGAGCCACACAGTCACGCTGATGTCACCTGCCAGGTAACGGGACTCCGCAGGGAACTCCTCTGGGACATCCACTTGGGAAGGAGGGGGAAACATGCCTTCTAGCTGTTCCGGGCCTGCGCCTCCCTCCCCACGACACCGGGCGGCGGAAGCGGGACACAGGTCGCGGGAGGGGAAGGGAAAGCGCGGAAGCGCGCCTGGAAGGCCGCGGCCGCACAGAGTGCGCTCAGAGGCGGGGGCGCCCGGCCCCTCCCCTCCCCGCCCGCTCAGGGCTCCGGCGGCGGCGGGGGCTCCCAGAAGGAAGCCAGGGCGGCCCTGCGCGCAGCCGCCTCCGAGGGGCAACTTGCAAAACTAGTTTAGCGCCCGGAGAAAGAGCCCTTCCCCTTAGGAGCGCCCTGCACCCCCGGCGGGGCGGGCACGGCCCAGGAATCCAGACCTTTCGGCCTCCGGAAGTCGAAACGGCCCTTTGGGCTCCAGCCCGAGAACCTGCGACCTCCGGGCCACGGTCGCCCGGAAGGACGGCGGTCCCAGCCCCGTTAGGAGAGCGGGAGGATGAACGCTCTGGAACCCACGCCCCGGGGCGGCTCGCTGTAACGGAGCTGGGGCCTGGGCGTGTGTGCCTTTCCCAAAACTGATGCCGGGTTCGGACCTCGGCAACCTCCGCTACGGTCCCAGCCGTGCGGGTCCCGCCCCAGCTTTCCGCTCCCACAACCCGCCAACATCAAAGGGAGAGACGCTGATTCCCGGTCCTCGCAGCCCCGCAGCCCGGGGTCCGCCGGGCCCGCGCTCCGCCACGCCTGCGGGCCGGGCGGGCAGCGCTTCCGTCGCAGCCCAGCGCCCGTACCTTTTCCGATGACTTCCAGCAGCGCCTTTTCCTCCGGGGCCAGCTCGCCTTTCTTGATGTGAACCATGGCTCCCGCCAGCTTGGAGGCTGTTCTGTTTCTCGGCGAGTGTGGAGAGGAAACGCGGTGTCTGTGTGAGGGACGCTAGCCGCCGAGGGGCAGCGCGAGACCAGGACGCCGGGAAGCGTTCGAATTCTCTCTCCTATCCCGCGGGCAGGCGAGCAGCCGGCGAGCTCGGGCGAGCCGGGGTGGGGGGTGGGGCGGTTCCGCAGGCCCCGCCTCCCCGCGCGCGTTATTGGCCCAGCCAGTGGGAGGAGCTTCCGGAGGTGGCAGCCAAAGACTCCCATTGGAGGAGCCAGGGAAGACAAAACCAAGTGGCAAAAACCACAGGGGGGAGTTGAATTCTCCTCACACGTTTCCCACCCTCCAACCTGTCTGCCTCGTATCTTTAGGATCCCGCAATATTTAAATTATCCAGCTCTCAGTTCTGTGTTCGGCAGTGGCTGCATGGGGCGTTTAGAGGTGTCCGGCTCTCGCCACCCCCCCTCCATTACCTAAGAAGTGGTGCGGCCCCAGCCAGGGGCGGGCTGAGAGGCGGGCCGGGGCGGGCCGGGAGGCGGGGCTGCGCCGGGCTCTGTGTGTCGATGTCAATGTGTCCGTCCTTCACTCCTCCATTGTCTGCCGCCGCCAGTGCTGCTGCCGCCCCTGCCGCTGCCGGAATCGCCGCAGCTCCCAGCCTCGCGCGTCGCCGCTACCTTCTTGGACAGGTGAGGAGCAACCCCGGGGGGGCCGGGGGAGCAGGAGAGGCTGCGGGAAGCGCGGTCGTCGCCCCCCGGGGGCTTCCCCTCGGGCCGGGAGGAAGCATGTGCCTGCTGGGGCGGCTTCCTGCTGCTCGGTGGGGAAGCAGCCCCTCCACCCCGTGGACCTCGCTTCCCGTGTATCCGTGCCGCGGAGTAAAGACCCGCCGCTCGGGGAGACCCGGGGACCGCGAATGGGTGGGGGCCCGCCACGCGGTGGAAGTGGCGGGTGCGCATCGTCTCGTGCGTGGCGCCGCCAGATGCGGATTCCGGAGGCCGGGGCTGAGGCTGGGAGCGAGGGGTGGGCTGGGCAGGGAGAAGGTGGCTATCTTTGGGCAAGCCTCCCCCTCGCCACCACCACACACGCACGCACGCCACTTGTCATCTCCTCTGGCCTCCGCGGAAGCTGCAAAAGAAAACCGGGTCTGGTTCGCCCCGCGGTGCCTGCGAAGGATGTTTGGAAGCAATTTGCACGGCACTAATGCTCCTTGGAGGAGGGAGGGCCTGGCGGGGGGGGAGGGAGGGCCTCGGCGCTCTGCTGGAGTTCCCAGTCTCTTTGTAACTCGGATCTTGAGATTTATGGAATTAGGGAGGGGAAAGGAAGAGGACGGATATTAAACTGGTGCTGCTGCCTGTGCATAGCTGTAGATGAGCCTCTTGATCCCGCCCTCCACTGTAATATGTACCCTGGGGCTTCGAGCACAGGGTAGCTAGGGGCGTAGATACAAGTGTGGACCTTCTGGTGGCTCAGGAGATAGACCTGCTGGCTAGTATGAAGCCGCTCATCCCTCCAAGGCGCACATCCATAGCATTTACAGCATCAGTACGAGCTTTAGAAATTAGTGTGTATGTTATGTCGTTGTTTCTCTACAGCCTGGTATTGGTGTTTCTCTCAAGACCCATCTGCTGCAAAGAGAAATATTTGAATAATGATCTGAATGGCTTTTGTTATCCATCCCACCATTCTTTCTCCCCACAGTGCTGTGTATGAAGTGAAATGCATTTTCCCCAGGCCTTACGCCTTTTTTTCTTTTTCTTTTTTTTTTTTTTTGAAGCATTCACCAACACTTCCGAAATCCTGGAAGATGTTTATCATTATTTCCTGCCTTTCACAAAAATATTTCTTAAACCCCAGCTATTTTCTTTGCAAAGGCTTCTTCATTTTACAGGCTGGGGCAAATCTGAGCCAGAACATCTCACATGAAAATGGTTTGCAATTATTCATCTCAACCTATAACAAAGAAACTTTTGTTTGATGATGCTTTAATAATGATGTGACTGTTCAGACAATGTGTAGTAAGACTTTTGAGAGTGACCACTATTTTGTAACACTTAGGATGCTGTTGCTGCCACAGTCTCAATTGCTTTTAACCATAGTATTATACAGAGGAAACCCACCTAAAAAAAATGTTTGCAGAGTGAACTTCTCCTAACATGTGACTTGACATCTTACAGCAAATGCATGGCCAGAATTGGGTGCTTCATTGCCAGTATTTCCATCTCTTCTGCCAGATCTGGGACATGGTTACTTGAAGGTCACACCTGTTTGTCTCACTGAGGTTGTCAGTTCTTAGAGGGTAGCGACTTATTATTCTTTCTTGGTGCCCTGTGGCATCGAGTTTGTATTTAGTAGTCCTCTGTGCATACACGACTTCAGTAAATATAGTGTCAGTACCATTTAAAGACAAAAACTAACCTCTACGTAGAAATGCAGATAAATAATGTTAAGTTTAAATTTCTAGAAACAGGTATGTAATGGATAGTGCTCATCAGATGGATTACATTAGTCGTTTTGTACAATGTAAATTTTTAATGTAGGAATAAGATTAGCTAATGAGCACACCTGAAACTAGATCGAGGAACTTTTATTATTCTAAGACTATACTCATATCAAGGAAATTTTGTTGATAATAAAATAGCTGCTACTTATTGAGTATTTAGTCTATGCCAGTTATTGTACCAGATGCTTTGTGTAGGATTCTTTTAAATATTGTTACAGTGACCCAGGAATTAGCCAGTATTATCTCTGGCTTATTATGCAAATAAGAGGACAGAAAATAAAAGAAATTAGTTTGTCCACGCCCCACAGTTAGGAAGAGTCAGAGCTAGAATGGAACCTCTCTCTTGTCTCTAAAACCTGTTCTCTTTTTCCAATTTTCTGCCTATGTGGTTGACAGTAAGGAAGAAATTATATATTCTTTTAACTAGCCAATAGGTAATCATGTGGTTCAGCCTACCAGAGAGACAAGTCTCTCTCCTACCTCTGCCAATCCTTTTTCCATGCCCTACAACCAGTGGTATCTATTTCTTCCATATCCTTCCTATGATATTTTGCATGTTATAGCTTTTTTTTTTTTCTTTCCAGAAATGGGATCATACTAACACTGTTCTACACTATGTAATAGAATTTTTATGATGCTTTGGTCTTGCTTATGTTTCTTTTTTCACTTTTTAAAAAATAATGATTTCTAAAATGTCTGAAATGCCCCCTCATCTCTTTTCTACAACTGTCACTCTGGACCTCTCCTGGCTTTATTGCAATTGATTCCTGAATAGCCTGCTTCTCTCTCACCTCACCCCATCCAGCTAATTCAAGGCACCACCAGTTCAATAAACTTTGGGCACCCATCCGCCTAAGGGTGAGGCATACTCTGTAAAGATAGAACTAGTTCAGTGAAAATGTGTTGATGGCTTTTCTCTGGGCACAGAATATAGGCTCAGTTCTGGCCTGGAAGGCTCCAGCTTCTGGTCCCAGCAGGCATTTCCAGTCAGCCAGCCCCACCCACACACGCTGCTGGAAGGTCACCACACTGCTGGTTCCCTAACATGCCAGTAATTTCCACTCATTCGTTCCTGCTTTTTCTCTTCCTGTAATGCTTCCCTTCTCTCTTCATGGAGTCTCTCCTCTCCAGATCTAAAGAATTGTTCAGTTTCTAAATACTACTACATGTAACCTCTTCTCGCCAGTTTCATAATCACCTCTCCCACCCTACCCAGTGAGTGGGGTACAGAACACATTTATTCATGCTAGGGGCATAAGGAAGATCTTCACACAGGAGTTGATGGTACAGTTCTTGACATCTTCTACAACTCTCTTCTATCTTATGACCCTTGGTCGTCGACCTCCCCCCCTCCCCCCACAAGTAACATCATTGCTTTTTCATTTGGATCCCCATGAGTATACCTACAGCAGGCATCTTTTTCATGACATTCTATTATAGCTATATTAATCTGTTGAATCCCCTCTCCTTCTAAACTATAAATTCACTAGAATTAATTTACTTTTGTTTATCAAGAATGTAACCCATTGTCTTGCATCTGTATGCTCAGTGAATGCTGAGTTGAATTCAGTTTGATCGCGGTTATTTTAGATGGATTTGTTTCCCTATTTGACTAATTCTTACAGACACAGTGAAGTGATTGGCACAGTCACACAATCATAACCAAGGGCAGAAGTTCTTTAAATGTTTTCAGTCTCAAGCTGTTTGACATTCTGATGAATGCTATTAACCAAGAAAAAAAATTTTCATATGCATATGTTACAAATTGTACATACCATTCCTGGATTCCCCTCTATAGCCCCTGACCTTCAGCTCTCTGCTATAAGAGAATGCTGTTCCCTTTTTCTTGAAGGGGAGTAGCTTGCTCATTTTTGAGTATTACATCTTTTGAAGTAATGTTTTTCCTTGACATTTGACTTTCTTAGATTTGGGTATATTTCTTGAGTGATTGGATATTTGATGATATTAAAGAATTTTACTTTCTTTTACGTGTGAAAATAATATCATGGCTATATTTTTAAAAGATTCCCTATCTCTTAAAATATGTACTGAATTATTTAAGGAGGGAATGATATGACATCTGAGATTTGCTTCAATATAATTCTGTGACGGGGGGACAGGGACTGAGTAAGGGTATACTAGCAGATGAGACACCATTGACTGTGATGGAAGCTGGGCAATGAATTCATTGGCTTCATTCTATTGCTCTCTCTACTTTTGGATATGGCTGACATTTTCCATAATGAAGTTTTTAAAGTAAAATTTGGAAGTATTACAGCCTCTGAAAAATTGTTGTAGTTTTTTAACAAAGCATAAGAAAGTAATTTGAATGCAAATGCTCTTTATACTTGGAGTTTAGCTTATGCAATTATTCATTTAAATCTGAAAACAGTTACACCTAAATCTACCAGAGACTTAGCTTGTGAACAATGCATTTCTATAAACTGTTCACATTACATTTTAACTTCTCCACAAAACAAAAGTAGTTGGCATTTCTCAGTGCTTGGTCACAGGCAGATAAATATCTTACTGGCAGCTAATCTTTTTTGGAAACTGACGAAGTAGTCAGACAAGTCTGAACAAGGGTTGTAACTATATTTCGTTTAACTGAGAAAAATCAAGATGTGAGTGAAGTGGAGATACTGATTTTCTTCTGTGTCTCATAAACCAAGTCAGAAGGCATTTCCAAAAACAACAAAGGGTGCACCACCATGGTTGTGAGCAATATCAGCATTGTTAGGATAAGCATATTAATATAGGAAAACCAGGGCCAGATTCACAGCAGAGTGTGCCCACTAGATTCTGACTCAGGGCTTGCTTGACTCAGTGCTTACTTTGTCACCCACTTTCTGGATTTTTACAGCTTCATAGCATACACTTCTTGATATTTAAGTTTCTTTTATTAGGTCTCAAACTTATTGAATGTCAATGTTTCCAAACCCAACGTGTAAAATTTGTGTATCATTTATAACATGCCTTCCTAGGCTTTGTTTCAAGGGTTTTTAAAGACTATTTAATTCAGCTTCAAAGTCAAGTCTTCATGGCGTCTAAAGGCAGTGTAGTGAACCCAGCTTCACTGCCAGGTGAGGTTGAAGCGCACATTAGTATGAATCCAGTTTAGACTCATGTTTATATTAGACTAGAGGCCCGATGCACGAAATTCGTGCAAGGGGCCCGGCCCTCGCAGCC